GAATCATCATTTGAACAGTACAAATGCATTCTGGCATTGTGTGTTGAACTCATTCATGCTCGATGTACTTGAAACAAGTTTTAATGAGCAGCCAGTTTATCAGCGCAATATTTAAGCATTTAACGCGTCTCATTATGGGAGCACATAATAATAAATGTAATGATCTTTTTTTTTAGACCAAACACACATCACCAGAAAAGTGGTAATTTCATTTTAAAATAGCACACAACTTAATTTTCATTACGTCGATACAGAAAAAAACAACGGATAAAAAAAAATTTAAACGGTCAAAATGCCATGTAAACACTGGTGATTAATTTGGCTGTATATGCGATTCCATTCCGCACCTCAACGGTGAAAAAAATGAGTGTGTGTTGTTCTTTTTTTTTTTTGCTATGCCAGCAGATGAGGTAAAAAATGTGTATATTTTCGTTTTGATTTTTTTTTTTTTTGAATTTATTTTGAACTAAAGCCATTAAATATGATGTGATAGTGGCAAGATACTAAAAAATGGAAAGTTTCATGCATAAGTTTTTAATTAATATTTTTTTTTGGTTGTTGTTGTTTTGAAAATGTCGAGATTGTATTTCATTCTTGATTGTGTGATGAACTGATGATGCGATCACAACTTATATATTCTTGTCACGTTTGCATTTGGACGCAACTTTGATAGATCTCTTGAAAAGATTATAGATTGTTAGATTTCACTTTCATGTTTGTACATAAATTGTATGAAACCGCAAATAGTCCGCCACATCGTAAACAATGATGGTGTGTATGTGAATTGAAAATTTGTATGCCTATTCACCCAGACGATGTGCTGCTATCGCGTAATCCTTTTCGAAAAATGATGTCAAACTGAATGCGATTTTGCGGTAAAATTTGTTTGACAAGGAGAAATGAATGCAACAACAGCAGCGAACAACAATAACAAACCGAAAAAAAAGCGAACAACTTGAATAGAACTGGGTCAAAACACGATAAACTGATTCCAAAGTACAAAACTAAAAATTTCCGAGTAGGCAACAGAGGCCACAAGAGCGTGAAAAAGTGAGACGGAGCGAAAGAGAGCCAGAATAGCGAAAAACAAGAAAACGTCAACTGCTGCAAACACATCATGAAACAAACAAATGGATTACAATTCCGAAAGAGAATTACATTTGTTTAAATGCTTTTATTACTCAACTAAAATGAGTCTGTTAACAATTAAAGTTTTTTTTTTTTAATAATATTTTTTATGTGTTCGTTATATTTTTTGTATCTTTTGTTGTTTCTACGTAAGCGTTATGGTTGTTATGTTATGTTTTCGTAGAATGTTGAAATCGAAAGTGCTCTTGGATCAATTGAACTTGATTCGTATGAGGTTATTTCGTTTGCTCTTCGACGCTAATCTATTTGGTTGTTGTTTGCTGCTCGCTGCAACTGTTGTGTGGCTGTTTGTTGTCACACATTGTTTTTATTTTTCATTATTCTACGTAGTATCGGGCTGTTTTGGTTGCGCGTAAGCAATACGCAATTCTTAATTGCTTGCTTTTCCGACTGAGAAAATGACAGATTTTTTTTTTTTTTACTTCTAATGAGGCAAATTATGTTTTCAAATATATCACATAATTATACTGACAATACGCATCTTGTGTGGAAATGTGTAAGCATTTTTCATATAATTGGTGCGCTGTTTTCGGTTCATTTTCCGTATTCACATCCGTATTAATGCATACATTTGATTGTTTTGATTTTGAATTTTCGGTTAACTTGATTTGAAATGTATGTGTACGGAAATTTTTGTGATTGTAAACTAAATTTTCATGCCAAGCGATTTTTCTTCGAATTTGATTTTTGCATAGAAACGCACATTTTGCTTGCGAACTTGATGCATTCGCCAAATGAAATTGAAACTATAAAAAAAATAATGTCAGTCCATGAATTAGACGGATTAGCGGCAATGGCAAATCGTATTTAGCAGAGGTTAAGGTAGACGACATAGACGTGTGCGCGTCTGTATATCACACCATCGTCGGATTCGCTTAAGCTCAAGACAAACTTTATAATAATCATTCATACACACAGCATGTTAAAAACCAACATTCTACGGATATTTGACTTCTTGGTTGTCGAATAAGTTTCATGCTGTTTATTTACTTAAAGCATTAAACATTTGATTCTATTAAAACTATGATTGGAATGAGACGAAAGAGATGTCACACAAACACACACACACACACACACACACACATGTGCATAAATCGTGTCGCATGAATGTACGCGTTCAAATGTTGGTCTCTCTTTATCTCACCTTAATGTTCATGTATGAATGTGTGGTGGAATGATTGACCTACTAGAGCTTTATGTGCAACATACGTGCTTTGGATGCACTTTACAATCCAAAATGAAAAGAGAATGCTAAGAAAGATATGTTGCATGAAAATCACCAAAAAAAAACAAGTTTCAAATTGATTTTTATTATTAATTAATTCAAATCGTGACATTTATAAGAACTTGCATATGATAGAATGTTTGTTTTTCGGATTAAGAAAATGATTACTTTGAATTTTGGTACTTGTGAGCACTTGAAGTGGCGACTTATCGACTAAAGTGATTGGCAAAACCATTAATGCCAAAACAATATCCAAATCATCGTCTTCGACGACAACACCGTTGCGAACGTTATATGAACGAAATGTCTGTTGTGTGCTTGCAAATAAATTCGAATTTACAGACGAAGCGAACGAACGAAGGTGAACGATTTATGCAAATAATAATCGAAATAACACTTGATGTCTCCACACACTCGTTAAGCATCGCTCGTTAAACATTTCGATTTGTGTGTTTGAAATGTGATCAAGATTTTCATCGAGAATTTGTGCAATTGGACAATAAAAAAAAGTGAATGAATTTTTCAAAATAAGCCAAATATGTAGATACTGAAGCGAATACATAATTACGACATGGCTGCAACGTGAAAATGAAACACAATAACAATGATTTGGATGCATTAATTGCAGCAAGTGACATGTTTGCATCCACTTGGATTGGGTTCATTCGATTTGTTACATTTGAGAATATAGAAATGTTTTGTAGTGTGGCATCAACCGTATTCAGTGATTTTGTGATCAAAATTGTTTGTTATGCATTCGGCAAGCTTTGATATGAGGATAAATGTGTGTTCAACGTTTTTCCATTATATCGAAGCATGTACGCGCACGCTTTTCAAGGAATGAAGCAATATCACGAGCGCGTTATTGTAAGCGATGCATTCAATGAAAATGAGATGATTATGAATGGCAAAGACAACCACAGCGGCTAAAGATGCGGTACAATGGCTTCTTCTTTGCTTCGTCATTGCTGGTGAATTCGTGGTTGTTGCTGTTGTTGCTTTCGGCGTAAGTGAATACATAAGAGATTCATTGGTCTCAATGTCGGCCTTTGCTACACAACTATTGCGCTCTATGCCTGTTTTTGGGCAAAATAACGTGCCATAAACATTGCACAATATAAGAGAACCATAGCGTTATGCGCACATAACACACACACACATATACTGAGTTCGATACACAACACACAAAAAAATGTATTTTTATCTTCGCGCATAGACACATTCACAGCTCTATTCTTTTTTTGCGTAGTTTTGCTAAATAAGTAAACTTTGATTCTCATTGACCTAGTGGGAAAATTTCTATGTATATCTCTATGTGTACCGATTAAGCACACATAAAATCACATGTGCAATGGCACACAACTACATCGGACGGATAAAAAGAGCCTTTATTTAAATAAATATTGCGTGAATGCAAACATACGAATCGAAATACAGATGGATGCTTTGGATCATGCGAATTGAACGATCGATGATGTATCATGTTGCATATTGTATGTCCAATGCACACTCATGCTAGCACATCATCGATTTTATTTATGTCACAAAACGATATTTCATCGCATTTAATGAAAGTGATAGTCAACGATAGGGAAAAAAACGACGATCATTTTACGTTTCCATCACATTTTAAGAGTTATTATTGTGGCGAAGATGTTCGGTATTCATGTTTGTTTATAGAAAAAAATACAAACGGTCATTTATTACATGATTTAGTATCTTTATTGTCACGATGATTCTGGTTTACTTTTCGGTTATTATTCTGTTTTGTTGATAAGGTGTGAAATCGTCCACTCATTGCAATGAGGTTTTTTTTTGTTTTTTTCGGTGTTTTTTTTGTTTCATGGTAAAAATGTTGCCAGATAACCATTTTAACTTGAAAACAAATCTGAAATAACATGAAATTTGTGTTCCCGTATAATAAAAACAATATATTTGTTATTGTTTCTTTTCCGTATCATCAAATTCTTGTGTTTTGGAACAATTTTCGTAGACAAATAGATAACACATGAAACGCGCGTGTCAAAACAGAATTTGTGTTTTTTTTTGTATGTTTGTAAGTAATTTGGAGTAAATTTTGCTCATTTTAAAAAACTATGTTTTTCAAACTCAATTATTTATCTTTAATAAAAAAAAAACACCGAATTCATTTTATTTGAGACTGCAAATGCTGCACAACAAACCGTTTGCATTTTTTTGAAACCGGTTTAAATATATTTGTCTAAGAGCATTCAGTATCTATTGACTGCAATATCGTCGATTTATTGCAAATATGTATTTGTAAATCCACTAGACGGTTGTTGTTTCAACTGTCGCTATTCTGTTTATTCGATATGTGTTTTTCTTTCTTCGGCAATCGAATTGTATAATATTATCTAATCCACATCTCAGTTTGATTTACATATGTTTTGCCTGCAAATGCACTTTTGATTGAAGACACACACACATATGCCGTACACAAGGCACTTAACGAATCAAATGTAATTAGTGTGTGAATGTGGAATTTAAAAACGTGTGCACCGAACGAATATTTGGAGCGTTACAAAATGCTCGGTGTTGTTGTGCACACGACACACGTTTTTCATCTTTTAAAATGTATGCACAGGCCACAATTTTATCTACTTACTATTATTAAATTTAGCTCCATGTGATATCAGCATCGATAGTGGTGTCGGTCCATTTCGTCGTGTATCTGGCGGTAATCCAAATATCTTGTCTCTTGCAGTTTGTCCATATTTCAAATATTGTTTTTGTAATCCCATAATTAAAATAGCAAATGTGAGCTAATTTTTTGTTGTAGGTTGAATTGGAGGAGTTGGTGTTTGGTTGTGTTGGCTTCGTTTGATGCCAATTAAAATCTGTTGTTGGGCGAACGAATTGAATTTGGTGTTGATGTTGCGCCCGTTCCTTGATTTGGAAAGAATCTAAAATGAAAAAAGAAAAAAAAAACGCCGTCAAATTAAGCATTTTCAGGAATGTTTGCAAGTATTTTTTTTAATGGGTTCAATTTAGCATTGATTCATATTGATTGATTAAACAATTAGGATAAATAGTTTTCATTCAATGCAACAAATCAAACTAATTGCGATTGTGATATTGTTGAAAAATTGAGAATTTCCACCGATTCATCGCATGATTTCACATATCGATTTTACTACTTTGTTATCGCACGCACACACACAAGCGTGCAAAAAAAAAGGTTTAAATAAAATTAAAACGAAAATCATTGACCCAGTTATCAATCGCTTATCCATTGCCTTCCGCTGTATCTTCAATTTATTGCATTGAAGTCGAACGGGCAAATACACACACGTTCACACATATCAGACACTAACATACATTCGAATGCCATTTACATGGGTATTTTATGTGCATTAGCGGTAATTGAGACTACAAAATTTACTTTGTACTACATTCAATTGGCAAAAAGGTATTTATTTGTAATAAATGACTTAATCACCATCATCCACTTTTTGCTTCACTTCGTGATATTATTCAATAAAGTGAAAAACATGCCAACAATTGGGTAAGACGAAATGAAATGGATAAACAAGAATATGCTGCCTCCGCAATACAGTGAACATCATTCAGTGTTTGGGGGGCTTTTTTATTTCTCTGCTTCACACTTTGCACGCCGCTCATCTGTTCGTTTTGTTGTAATAGATCAGTCGCTTATACCAAAATAAAGTCATCACCACAAATTGTCTGTTTGTTTATACGCTTTTCTCTCTTTAGATAGATGCTGCTTGTGTTCGTATTCAACGTTTCATTTCGATGCGTCTCTGTGTACCGTACTATGTAATTACAAGAGGAAAAAAGTGTGCGCTTCATTCATTCGTGCGCATTTGTACACCAATGATTCACACGTTTCTTACCAGCTATGCTTAAATTGCCATTTTTCAAAGTGATCACTTTCGTCTATACTTTACCACATGAACATCAAATAAACGATGAATAGAGGAAACATCACATCACGTATCACATGAAATCGATTCCAAAACCGCGTGAAATTATTCGGATGGTTTTTGTTTTGATTTTTTTCTTCGTTTTATCGTCATTTGTTTGTTTTTCCATTAATTATCCGAAAATTAAACGATCAATGATATGAAATTATGCGATAATTATGACTCGCCTCGACTATCAACCGGGTTCGAGTTGCAGAGGTTTATATTCCGGATTTCAATTTCAGTGTCATTCAATAATTTGTACTCATGAAGGGTAAAAACAATCTGACACTCTTTTTTTTTCTTCAGTTAAATATCAATTTTAATTTGTGGTTCGAAGTATCGATCAGTGAAGAAAAAAGAGTGGCGTTTCTTCGGAAAAACACTTAAAAATGCTATTTATCTCAATTATTTTGCGTTAAAAGCTTACCAATCACACACTCATTTGTCAAGAATTTGCAATTATTCAGCTGGAATTATATACGTTAATCAGTTACGAATGTGTCTGCAGGCATGTAATTTTAATTTAAAATTCTGCTGAATTTTTTTCTTTCATTCAATTTCATCTTTTCTGAAAATGACTTCATTTTGATGTGGTTACGTTTTGAATCTTGTTTGTTTTCAAGTGATAATCATGTGGATTTGGCACCACCGATATGACGTCGTTGGCACCACCGATCGAAATGCATCACGCATACCATTTTGTGTTATAAATAAAGATACTGGAAGCGGTCATAATCATTTCCATTATTGAGATCCCACGCCAAAAAAGGTACCCATTTATATCACAGTGTTCGTCTTCGTGGTGGAGAAAAGATGAATAAAAAAGTGCAAAAAAGAAGAAACACGCAATCAATCATTGTCAACAGCCACATTCATCTGCCAGTTATCATGAATGGTCAGTCTGATTTATTCATGTGGAGCTGCAGTTTACAATGACAGCTGCAAGCGACTCTATTTTAACAACAATTTCATAAATAATTCAAACAAAATATTGCTCTTTTGTCTTCTTTGTGATCAAATGAAGTTTGAAAGCATCGAAATGCTGTATTACGTTGTCTCACCAATGTAAAATGTGACTTCCGTAAAGATAGAAAAAGAGTGTTACTTTTTTTTGTCCATTTTGGGGGTTGAGCTAACAGGATGAATTTGCATGTTACTTTTCTATATTTTGAAATAAGTTCAATCGGATATGTAGTTCCGTATTCTCTCACTTCATTCAAACTGTCGGATTTGCATGCACGTTGTGAATTACCGAAATGGACTTGAGAAGGAAAACACACCGCAAATGATTTACAATCGATTATTGTACAAAATATTCACATTTATTGGAATGGAGCTAATCTAGGCGCAACCCATAAAAACACGTTAAATTGAGTTGACATTGCACATTTGGATTTAACTCTTTATTAAAAGCTGTGAGTTTGCTTCAGAATATTATCGTTTATTGAAATAAAAATATTTATATATTTCTTTTTCTTTTTGTTTTATCTTGTTTATTTCGACGTTGATCCGTTCGTTATCTAGCTGCAAGCAATTATAAAATTGGCAGTATTGTCGAGCGCATACATAATTCAATGACTTTCAATGCCACAACGATAATTTAAGATAATGATTAGTTACAGTAATATATTCGGACTATCACTATTATTACACACAATTGCACCATATGAGACGTTCCCGTTCAGTGTTTCACGTCTGAATTCGAATTATAGAAACGAAGAAATTGGATTGCGCCAATAAAAGTATTGTGTTCGTTTTTCGGTTTTTTTTTCTCTCATTATTGATAAGCTCTATATTTAGCTTTGTGAATTGAGAGGAATTCAATCAGAAGTATAATAACAAAAGTTATTTTTCACTCTACATAAAATAAATCAAACATGACCAAAACATGATTTGATACCAATCCGTCCATTACACATGGTAAGTTAGGTCGAAAAATCTCTTGATTTATAATATTTATAATATTTATAAACGCTGCTCTTCTCACGCAATGGTTTCGAATCTTTTCAATTAAGGACCCAATAAGAGCAAATACGCTTGCAAATGAAATGCATTCAAATATAAACAAAGAACCCAACTTAAATATGAAATCACCTAATTTATCTATGTATCTCAATTAAATATTTAACTTGACAATTCATTTGCTTGCAAGTATGTTATAACCATAGATCATGCCCTTTGAACAAAGTGCAAAAAAAAAAATTACGAGCTATTTGCTTTCAGAGGAAAAAAAATCCCATAAATTCATGTATTTAGCGACTTTGTATTAAATGTTCACCGGATGGCAAAATAAAAAAAACTCACTGTGTGCAGAACCCAAATCATGTTGATTTATTGAGAATTACCGTTCAATCGAATCGATATTGACGTAATTATACATGGCAAAAAATAACATCTAATTCACACAATCAACACGATTGAATAACGTTTTTTTTCGACGTTGTCGTGGTCGTTATTATTGTTCTAGTTGTTGTTGTTTGTGGTACAGCGTAATTTTCAAGTGCTTGATTGTGATTGATACGCTAATAAATTAATATTTTAATTACACACAAACGGTAGCACTTTACAACAATAAACAAAGAGGAAAAAAAGCAACAAAGCTTTCGACGAACTGTTAATTATTCCATTATTTAAACAATTCTAAGAATCTTAAGAAGTTGTGTGGTCAATTGGTGCAATGAATTATGATCCGGATCGAAAATAATTTCGTTCAACGGTTTGTGGTTTCTTTGTGACGCCAACACTCAAGCGAATTTATGTTTCTAAGCGTCTGGCACCGATAAATTCTTTGAAATTAAAACACTTGTATTCAAATTAATTGAATCATCGGTAAATTTCCACTACACAACAATGAGACTCGATAATGAATCATGAACGAATTCTTGAACGGAGTTTGATCATTTTAATGAAAATCAACAATTGCGCTCTAAAACATTAATGGCGCCGTAACTATAATTTTTTTTTGAGTTTTCTTTCTTTCATGATTCAATTGGGATGGAGCACCATGGTTCGAAATTACAGTTATGCATTATTCGGAGAAGATATATCCTATCAGAATGAAAAGATTCGTTGTCACTCGATCAATGTTGGTGCATTGGATTTTGCAATCACAAATCGAGAATGAAATTGTTTGTGTGCGAATAAAAAAAAAATGAAAAATTCGAAGCAGCCTGTGTGAAAAGGAATCGTGTCTGATTTTAAACACCATGAAATTAAGTTGTGACAGTGATTGTCTAGGGGATAACCGTGAATTGCAGATCGAATAATTTATAATAATAAACGCTATTTCTCTCTATTTTTCACTAATTCTGCTAGTATTTCTACTAGTTTGTTCTAATACTGCTATTTTTTGCTAATTTCTCTAGTACGTCAAAAATATTGCATACGTCAGATTGACAGCATGATCGAATAACCGAAATGTGTTTACGTAAATGTTTCAAGTTGACACTTTCAACGTGTATATTTGAAGCAGGCACTAGCGTATACGTTTTCAGTAAGAAATCTGTCATCAAATCTACATTTCCGATTGCAATTCGTAAATTGTAGTTAATACAGATGAAACGTGCTTGATTACGTGCCATTGAATATATTTTTATTTAAAAATGGAAAAAAGCGTATTTAACTTCATATTTTGATACATTTTAGTTCAACACTATTCAATTCGTTTGTTTTGTGAATTTTATTTTAATTCATTATTTCAAAAAATTCAAGAATAAATGCTTACTAAAGTATATACGTGTACAGTGCTAATTCTGCTATTTATTGCTAATTTTGCTATTTTCTTCATGTAAATTTCCCTATTTTTTGCTAATGTGCTAATTCTAATTCGCATGGATATCCCCTAGGTGATTGTAGAATAGATAAAGCGAATGTATATTCGAATGATTCGTGCAAATAGTAAAACCATGTGTCTGTTAGAATTATTTTAAACGACAATAATAATCACATTATAATGGATAATTTAGCATGTTAGAATGATAAT